GACCGATCGCCCGGCAGCATGCTCTCCCTGGGGAGTTCACGGGTGGGGCGGCGGCTTCTCTGGACGCGGGCGGTGGCTGGCTGTTCCGCTGAAAGGCCCTCCCCGTAACCAGCCGCACCGTCGGCGGGCCGAATGCTCGGGTGAGTCTTGCCTTTCTCCACGCGAGAAGGTCTCTGGTAACTGTCTTCCTCCAAAGCAGCTTCGGCACGACTTCTTTGCATTATGTAAGCGAGGTGTGTGTGTGGGGGGGGGTTATGGCAGGCCTTCACAGATGCATCACCGGCTACTTTTTCTGCTTTGTATTCGTTTAAATATTCCTGGTTTTCTTCCTCAGCGAGATCTTGCTGCCGGCCACCGCTCAGCTTGTCAGTCTCCCACACCCTTAGGTCGGGGCTGGCAGCCTTCCCTCGGTCCCCGACCTTTCTGCTACGCCGCATGCAGGGTGTCGGCGGCCAGTCTGGTGGCCTGGTGGGTTTTGGAATCTTAACGCCAGAGGACGCGGTGACCGGCCGCCGGTGCCCGGGCTCCCCTGCGTGCAGGGACTGCGGTGTCTCCACCTTGTTTTTCCCGCCGCTCCAGGGAGAATGGGTCCAGGGCTCTGGAGTTGTCCCAGGATGCCACCTGGGACCCGTTCCTGGGCCACCTTCCTCACAGTCACAAGAGGGCTGCCCTGCTCAAGACATCACATCTGTATTCCAGGCAGGAGGAAGAGGTAAAGGGGAAAGGCATCGCCAGCTGAGTCTGTTCCTCTTTATTAGGAAAAAATAAAGCTCTCCCAGAAGCTGAGAGAATAACCTGATTAGACCTCACCGATCAGAAAGGGCCACATGGGCGTGCCGCCTTGGTGTAGGAAAGCCCACTAAAGGTGGGGGCATCTGAAACAGGGCTCGGTGGGAGCCCAGTGGACAGGCACAGGCAAGGCTTTGCCAGCGGGGAACAGGGAGAGAAGGGGCACCGGACGGGCAACGTGCAGTGTCTGGTAATTGTGACCGCACGTGGCCGGCCCGTCATCACTGCCACTTATCTGAACACTCACGGCCGCTCCCGCTCCTCCGCAGGCCAGCGGGGACCCAGGAACACCGGGGCGCCGGCATCTCCGCCCGGCCACCGCCTCCTTCTGCAGTACCAGCTGCGCACCGCCGCCCCTGGCGTCGGGCCTGATTCCGGGCCTCGGGGGTGCGAGGAGACGCTCTGCGCTCTTGCCCGCGTGTCTGGGGATGCCTTCCGCCCTGGGGGGAGTTAGTCACCTGTCTGCCCAGACGGGGGTCAGCTCGGCCTGCTCGGGCACACGGGCCGTTCCCCGCATGCTCCCCCGGCACGCCTGTCTCGAAGGCCAGCGAAGGCTACTTCCGGCCTGTCACACTGGGGCCCAGTCTTAGAGACCCACCCCGGACTCCCCGTATCTGGTCTCTCGGCAACCCTCCCTCTCTCCGTGTGTCTTGTGACGCACACGAGCCGTTCATTCAACAAAGAACGGCCTGTCCCCTCTGTGTCAGGTCCTGCAGCCCCGAGAAACCTGATCGGTAGACACTGCACCCGTTCCTCCCGTCTTCCCCCCAGAACGGAATCCCAGTTCTGGGACCGGGTGATGGACCAGAATGGGTCTAAGCCACACGGGGCAGTGGCTGCCGGAGTTACAATTCTCTGCTTCCCAGCCTCCTAGCTCAGAGTGGCCCGTGACCTAGTTCTCGCCGATGAGAACTTGTGTGAAAGAGCTCTGAGAAAGTACATTCCTGACGCAGGGAAGAGACGCTGATGCTGCTACCTCTCCTTCCTTTTTCCTGCTCCAAACTCAAACGCAGTGTCTGGAGCCACAGCAGCCAGTTTGCCAGGATGAGGCGATAAAGCGACGAGCCAAAGGAGGCGGAATGCTGACAGTAAGTATGGGGCGTGGGGAGGTGCCCCAGATCAGCTGCTCCAGCCCTCCACCACCTACCTCCGCACTGTTACTCGAGACTAATTACCCCCATGTAGGATTCCGTCCACCGGGTTTTACCCTGTTGGCCAAGAACCTCCCAAAATGATCTAAATGGTAAGCCAGAACGGCAGGGCTGCTGCTGCCCGAGTGAACCTTAGGGTTATGTAAGAGAGATGTTTAACCAGATCACATCAGTCACCTGATGGGGAGGCAGAGTGTGGCGTGACGGTCACGAGATGGCCCTGCACTGGCCAGGGGAGGGGGCAGGAAGGAGGAAGTCTCAGGACAGACATGCGGTCACCAGAAACAGAGCCCATCTTCCTGCGGTGCCTGAACTCACGGAGCCCACCCTCCCCCGGCAAAGTCCAGGCCCCACCCCCTCCCGTGACCAGCAGGTAAGATTTCTGCTCACCTGTGTCCCTCTTCTGCGGGAGCCTGGGGAGATAGGATGCACGCACCCTGCATCCCACGCCGCCGCCTGGCACGCCCCATCCTTGCGGGGGGTGTCGCCCTCCAGCCGGTCTGGGTTTTCCCAGACCTCTGCCCTCTGGAGAGAGGGCGACGCAGGCCACCAGCTCCCCTGCAGCCTCTGCCGGGCTGGCGGTTAATTATTAACAGGGCGGGGAACCGGACACCGGCCCACAGCCGCCCACGGCCGCCCCACACGCTGGCCCAGAGAACCTGCCATTTCAGCCTCAGGAAAACGGCTCAGCCATGCCGTTTCAGGCCCTGCCGTGCCCCAGTGAGGGCGGCCATGAGTGGCCCTCCACGAAGACGAAGCTACCCCGTAAGCGTACAGGCGACTACATTCAAAGGCGCACCAGCAAAAGCAGAGACTCGGAGGGGACGCAGGGACGCGGGGACGCCGAGAATCAGCGACACCGACGCCTTGCGTTGCCATAGGGCGGCGGATCCGCTGTTCGAAAGGTTCGCGATAGGTACCATCGGATCTGCCGCCCTGTTGGGGGAAACTATTTTAAGCCCAATTAGCATGAAGTTTGGAGATTGCAAATGGTTTTCATTAAGACATAAAACAGAATGCCACGACATTTCTCCCCTCCACTCGTCATAAACAAGTTAATTACGGAGCAGCAAGCCGCCCTCTGGAACCTGGGCGTCTCCGAGGCCGCCGGGAGGCTGACCGGGCCAAGGGAGGCCCATGGGGCGGCCGTTCCTCGGACGGAGGGCCGGTCCTCAAACGCGGCCACACAGAGGCTCAGCCCGGCCCACAGGGGTAACTCGGGGGCGAGCAGTCGTTGCCTCTCTCACTGGGTTCCCACCGCACTTCCGGAAATATCGCACCTTGTGATTATCTTTGTCACACACACACACACACACACACACACACACACACCCCTCAACCGCGATCTGGTCGTTTGCGAAGCTTTCTACTCGGATAGAGAAATTTTTATCTCCCTGGTTGGGGTGCGCACAGGTCGGCTCTCACCTCCGTACCTGCGACGTTACTTCTGAGATGACGCCGTCTCTCTGCCCCGGGGTTCTTCACCTTGAGGAGGGCCACGGGAAGAGGACAGGGCGGGGCTGCCGGGGAGGGGCTGGGGGGGCAGTGGGACTCCGGCCCCCAGGGGAGGGCGCTGCAGATCCCCCCCGGGTCCCGGGACCCACTCTGCTGCTCTCTTCTCAGCCGCAGCCAGCGATCACAGCCAGGCCAGCGAGGAGACACTTGTTCGCAGTCTCCCTCCTTATTGTAAAGGGGCAAGACCCTGCCGCCCCCTTCCGCGGCAGGCGGCACCTGCCGTCGCTGAAACAGAGGCGGTCCTTCCAGAACTCCGCGGCAACACGGACACGCGAGCCTCCTTTCCTGTTCAGGGCCACACCTGGGGAGGCTCCGGGGCGTCGGCTTCAGGACACGCTAACGGCGGCGGCGGCACCTCCACACGTAACAACACACTGAGAGTGGGAGGAGCGTCGGGCCCTCCCCGCGGGCGCTCGGGGGAAGACGCCGTGACCCGTGGTCCTGCAGGATGCTCGCCGCTCCAACGACGTTGGGGCAATAACACTCCGACCTCACCCGCCTCCTCACAAGCACGCCCACCGTCCAGGGGTGGGCCCTTCCCGGTGTGTGCTCTGTCTGTCTGGCCATCTGGCCGTCAACGCAAGAGTCAAGAGCACCACCCCCCGGCTCTAGCAGTCGACTCAGACGACAGCAAATAAGAAGAGTTGGATTCGGGGCAAAGAGAAAATCCTGATTCAGGCGGCGGGAACCAGGGAGTCGGGGGGGGGGTCTGAGGACTCACCGGCTCAGGCAGGTGGACCTGCCAGTGCCCGGGGTGGGGCGTGTGCGTGTGCATGTGTGTGCGTGTGCAAACCCTGCGCCCCTGCAGCACAGACGGGGAGACCGCAGCGGTCTGAGGACCAGTTCGTCCTGAGCGGCGACACTCAGCTGCGATGCTGTATCTCAAGTTTGCTCCCTCCATCCCCGGGAAGTCAGCTAAATTCCTCTTTCTGGGAAACTGAGGCAAGGAGGGGCGCCCCGGGGCAGGAGGAGCCGCGTCATCTCCCCTCCCCCGCAAACACGGAGTCTCATCAGTGTGTCCTGAAGGGCGAACAGAACCACATGCACAGGGACCCGCCGCCCTCCCGGGTCCTGGCGCCGCCTGGCCTCGCCCTCCCGGCGCGGACGGAGGGGCTCCCTGGCGGCCCCCTCCCGGGTGTTTCCGTGTTGTCGGCGGGACGGTCGGGGAGACGAGTGCCGCGCACGCGAACAGGACATCCATGGGCTTATTTCCCCCAGTTCCCACCACACCGCCTGCTTTACCGTGCATTGCAGAGCCAGGGTGGTTTAAGCATCCGGAGTTTCACACATAGAGAGACACTTCGTCAGAAAGTCTCCTCCGCACACACCGCTTGGGTGACGACCGCATTCCGGTGAGCGGCCCAGAACACGATTCCCCTCGCTCGGGGTGACGCCACGTCATGCACCTGTGACGCCGTGACGCTGCAGCCCCGGGCCGCACCTCACTGACCCCGGGACACAGAGGGGGGGCTCGGGTGGGCCCGTCAAAACGTTCCCCGATCCAGGGCAAGGAGAGGGATTCCTCCCTGCCTGTGCCCACCCTACCTTTGAGGAGCTTCTCTCCTTCCAGAACATTCTGGGAGATTAGTGCCGTGTAGTCTTCCTCGGAGAATCCAGCCTTGCAGGTCTCCCCGGCCGCAAGGTCCCCGCCGTGGGCCTGAGATGGGAAAGCGAGAGGTCAGAACAAACGTCACGTTCACAGGGATCGGGCCCGACGGCCCACCAGGGACGGGCTGTGCACCGGTCTCTGCTCTGACGGGCCCGGACGCGCCCTGGGGCCCACCAGACTCGGAGCCGGGTCGGCTGGGGGCCAGGCGAGCTGGGGAGGGGCGGCCGGCGGCTGTCTGGGCGGAACTGGCACTCGGAGGAGTGAGAGCAAGAGCAGTGTCCAGGAGGCGGCAGACCGGCCGGCCGGAGAGCCAGGAGTTGGCCAGTGACAACAGAGGGGGGAGGCCAGGAGCGGCGGAGGCCAGGGGGCGGCTGCGTGCCGCCACTTCACCCTTCGGTAGCAATCCTCCCGCCCCCCCCCCCTGCCCCCCCGCCCATGGGTGAGGTGGGCCACCAGGGAGGGGAGTGGCCGGGGAACGGGAGGGGCGGTTGTCTGGGACTCGGCTGGAGGGACCGGCCAGGAGGCTGGGGGTGTGTGTGTGTGTGGGGGAGGGGTGGTTCTCCCTCCAGTGCTCTCGGCCCTGCCCCTACTTCCTCTGCTGCTGGTCCACCTTCGCAGCCACTTCTCTGCCAGGAGAGAGGGCCCCCCTAACTGACAGGAAAGGGTGGGTGTCCTATCCTCCTCCTGCCCGCTTCCCAGCGCCCCGGCTCTCCCCCCCAGTGGGAGGTGGTCTGGAGCCCCGCGCAGGCAGGCAGCACAGCGGCGTAGGAAGGCCCCTCCGGGCGGGGGAGTGGGAGTTACGGGTCTGCCGCGGGGCTGGGGACGGAGGGAGAAACAGCCACAGGGAAGCGACCGCCTCATCGCCAGCCCGGCCAGGGCAGGCAGCGTGGTGAAGCCGGCACCCCTCAGCCTCCCTGCAGGACACGCCTCCCACGCCGCAGCCCCCTCCTCCGCCCCTCCACGCCTCTCGGCTGGAGGCTGCCCCAGCCCCAGCTCCCAGCACCCACCATTGCTGCGGACGGGGGCGCCCCCCAGCCAGAAGCACCAGAGAAGGAGAGGGTGCAGGGTCGGGCCGCTCTTTGGAAAGGCTGGGCACGGCGGCTGGGTCCTGGGGCACCAAGCTCCATGGAGATGGGCGCCGAGGCAGTGCACTCGCCCAGGAAAGTTTGCAGTCGCCCCCGGAGAGTGCCAAGCGCACCCCGCGCCCGCAGCCTCGGAGCGGCCTGCCCACGGGCGCCGGCTCATCTCCGAGGTTACACCGCGCGGCCCGGAAGGAGCAGCGAGGCCGAACGGCCACGAGAGGGGGTTCCTGCAACTCCCTCGGCCCCTCCGCCTCCCACCGGGGCGCCCTGGGCGCAGCCCGCACGCCGCCCCCCGCGCCCTGCCCCCAGCAGGCGCAGAGCAGACTGGGGATCCGGGCGCGGGCTGCGAGGGAAGGAGGCGAGCGCCAGGACCGCGCTCCGCGGACACCCTGGCTCTGCGGCCGCCCAGCGCCCGGCTCCGCAGCCCCACTCGGAGCAGAGAGGGCCCCGCCCGCGCACCCCGCCCCGCGGGGACTCCGCGGCGAGGGTGTCCCGCGATCTCCATCGCCGCCCACCCCCCAGCGACGGTCCTCGCCGGCACCCAGAAAACCCAGGCGGGGTTGCGCCTCGAAGCCCCAACCCCCGGCAGGGGTGGTCAGACAGGGTGGTGCCCCCGTCGGCCAGACCCCCCGCCCGCCGTCACCAGGTCCCCGCGCCCGCAGCCCCGGTCCGGCTGTGTCCAACAACTCCGGAGGCACGCGGCTCCCGGGCGATGGAGGGCGCGCCGAGTCCGCCAGCCGGCGAGCCGGGCTCTGGGCAGCGCGGCCGCGGACCTGAAGCAGCCGAGGGATGCTCCACGGTCTTCTCCCGGCAGAGCTCCCTCCGTCGCTGACCCGCCCGGCCAGCCGCCCACACTCCCGCCCGGCTCCGCACCGCCGCTCCGCGCTGTCCCGGCGGCTCCACGCTTCTGCCAACCGCGGGCGGCTTCGCGGGGCGCGGGAGCCGGCTGGATGCCGCGGTGCGCGCGGCGAGGGCCGGGGAAGCCCGGGAGAGCTTCTCCGGTCGTGTGCGCGCCCCACCGGCTCCGGTGACGGCCCCGCGCCGCTCCGGCTTCCAAGACGCCGGGGCGGGAGGCGGCAACTTACCCGAAGAGCTCCGGAGAGCGAAAGCAGCACCAGGAGGACGCCGGAGCCCGCGGTCATCTTCCCCGCCGCGCCGCGCCCCGGCGCCCGCCCTCCCGGAGCCCGGAGCCTGGAGCCCGCTCCTCGCCGCCGCCGCGATCGCGCCGCTCCACGGGCCCCGAACCTCCAGCCCCGCGGCGGCGCGCTCCTCCGGGCCGGTGCGTCCGCCGGCCTCTCAGCCGCCCGCGCCTCTGTTCCGCGCGCTCCGAACCGCAGGTGAAGCCGCGCGGTCGCCCCGCGGAGGCCCCGCCCGCCGCCCGGCCCCTGCGCTCGTCCGCCTGACGCGGGCCTTAAAGGCGCCGCGCCCGCACCCCGCCTCTCCGCCCGCACCGCGCGGCCGCGCAAGGGCAGGGCATCTGGAGCCCAAGCCCACGTTGGCCGAAGGGGCCTCAGACGCTCCGTTTACTGGGAAAAGTGTGTGTGTGTGTGGGGGGGGGGCAAGGGGGGGGCCCAGGGGCTGAAGACTGTCGAAGACGCGGGGTTTCTCGCCCCCCCCACCCCCTGGGCACCCCTCCTGGATGGGGAGCCCCTGCTGCCTCGGTCCAACTCCCCGCTGGGCGGGGTCCGTGGCGGGAGCAGGCGCTCCGCCGTGACCTTTATCTTTCAGGTGTCATCTCCCTGAGTCCACAGTCGCAGGCCACCCTCAGGGCCTGGCGCCCGCGTTTAGCCAAGAGAGGCCTCGGGCTGGGCTGCATGTCAGGCCCGGGGGGCTGTGCAGACCCTCCAGCGCCCTGGAAGGCTCCGAGCCTGGGCCCTGGCCGGCGGCCTCAAGGGGACTGGGGAAGCGGCGACTGCTGTTGGTGCCGCAGAACGCACGGGGAGGCCCGAGAGGCCGAGGAAGAGATGAGAAACCCCTGGAAATGAGAGGGAAGGAAGGGACTCCTCGTGGGCAGGCGGGCAGGCGGGCAGGTGGGCAGGCCCGCGGGCCGAGGGGCTCTGCCAGGGAGACTTCTGAACTGGGGGCCCTCCTTTAAGGGGTCACTGGGCGAAGGCTAGGCACAGCTCGGACAGTGAGGGGTGTTGCTGCCCGCTTTCCCTCGGCCTGGAGATGTGTGGGGAGGGGGCTTTGTTTGCTCAGACGTCTCCCAGCGTCTCTGTCTTGCTTTGGGGGAGCGCTGCGCCCGGAATCCTGGTGCTCTGGCTGCACGGCCACGCCGCCAAGGAGGGGGAAGCCGATGGAGGGGGACCGTGGAGCTCCAAGGTCACCGTGCAGCGCCAAGGTCGGAGTCGACTTGGGCAAGAGAGCAAAAGAGCTGCAGACGGAGCAACCTCGGGTCCTCCCCCCAGAGCCCGCACAGCAGGGCAGGGCTGCCTGCTGGTTAGCGCCTCGCGCCGGCCTTCCGGAACTCAGACTCCAGGTCACTCCCTCCAGAGGGGCCCCGTGAGAGCGCTGGGCCCAGAGGAGGGCGTGACCTTGGTTTCCCACCCCGAAACCTGTGCGGCCGGTAAACAGAGCACTGCGCCGGCCCCTCGTGACCCCGAGTCTGCTCCGTTCCCCGCGAGGCGGTGGGAAAAGACACACGTTGCGCCATTTCCGGGGCTCAACGTGCGGGCACGTCCGGCTCGGACTCACGCAGAGGTGGCCGGTGCCCAGGGAGGTTTCCTGGGCGGACCCATACGAAACCCCACTTGGGGGTCGCCCACTCCGAGCCGCGTGCTCCCCACTGGGGAAGACCTCCTCCGCTCGCCCCCCGAGTTCTCAGAGAGGGCCTGGCCACCCACCCGCGGAGAGAGCTCACCCACGCTCCCGCGGGCGCCCTGCACCTCCCACCGCCTGGGCCTGCCTCTCTCTGGCGTCACGAATTCCGAGCAGGATGGGGACCGTCTCTGCAGCAGACGTGTCCCTGAGCGCAGCGCTGGCCCAGCTGCGCTCCGCCCGGCGGGTCGAGTGCCAGTTTGAAAAACAGGAAGAAATCAGTGCTGGGCGCGGCCCGAGGCCCAGGCACCGACCGGAAGAAATGCATCCGCCTGTCTTGTCTCCCGCCACCACGCGACCCGGCGTCGTGGCCGCGCTGGCGGGCGCCGGGACTTCCGGGGGGTCTGCGCGCGGACCTCCTGACGGATCCGGCCTCGGGTCAGTCCGCGAGCAGGAGCCGGCGCCAACTCGGTGTCCATCCGGACTCTGTAGGTGGGCGCGGTTGTCATCCCCAGCACGTGCCCGGGACGGAGGGAGACCAGGCCGAGCTGCAGGCCCTGGTCCCTGGCGTGGGGCGTTTCCCGGGCGCCTTTGGGGGGCCGAGCCGGTTGACACAGCGCAGCGCGGGGGAGCTGGTGCCGGCGGAACACCAGCCAGAAGCACTGCAGTGGCGGAGGGGGGCCCGGCAGAGAGCGATGGTTTATCAGCCTCGCGTGGCAGCCGAGGCGGTGAGGATGCGTTCCAGAGCAGGGGTAGTGCGGTCTCCAGCACGGGGGTGGGGTTGGGGGTGGAGTGGGAGTGGGGTGGGGGTGGGTTTTGAAGGCTGCTCTGCAGCCCGGCCCCTCCCAGAATGCCCCCCAGACCAGCAGCATGTGCACCCCTCCGCAGCTTGTTAAAAATGCAGAGCCGACCACAGGCCACATCCCAGGCTCCGGTACGGAAACCTGCGTGCTGACCGGCTCCCCCACATTCCACCTCTGCCCTGGGGCAACTGGGGGGCTTCAGACTCTGGGAGAGGCTCCTGCGAAATGCGGATGCCTGGCTGCACCCCAGGCCTGCTGACTCGGAGCTGCGGGGCACCAGCCTGGGGCCCGGCCTTTCAGCAAGCTCTGGAGTGGGTGTTCACGCACGCTAGTGTCGCGGAACCACTGGCCCACCCCACGTTCACGGGCGGCTCCTGGGTCCCACTGTGGACCCACTGGCTCTGCATGTCCTGGGTGGAGCCTGGGCGTCAGCACCGGGCGGGAGAGAGACGCAGAGCTGCCCCCAGCACCTGGAGGAGGGGCTGCCACCCACCCACCTGCTGGTGCAGAGCCCCAGGGAAAAGCCCGCTTTTGTTTCCAAGAGACGGGGAGGATGCCTGTGGGAGGGTGGCTGTGAGGGGCCACTTGCCCTGGCCGCCCCCCCCCCTCGGGAACGGTCAGTAGAGGCCGGACCACGGACGTTCGAGATGCTGGTGGCACCACTCCCCCCACCCCACCGCGGGTCGAGGTGAGTCTGGGGAGGGGGTTCATCCGTGGAAGCGAATCGGAGGCTTCCGCGGGGCTGGGTTTCCCTGCCTTTTCCTCCGATGTTAATTTGTTTCTCCCCATTTCACATTATTTTTGTAGACACTTCGCTGTTACATAAAAAGCTGTTTTGTAAAGAAAACAGGGAGATGTAGCAAAAGGTGTGTTTCTGGAAGAAAACAACCTTTGTGGGCACATGACGAGGCTGAAGGCACCAAGCACATGGATGGAGAAGCCCTGTCTTCGGGGAAACGCTAGGGACAGACAGACAGACAGACAGACGGGGCAGGTGGCAAACGGAGCTCTCTGCCTTCCAGTCCAGCGGCACTCACCGTGAAGGGGACCCACGACAGGGACCGGTATCCTTCCTGCCAAACCCGTCCGCCCCCGTCCACGGAGGTGGACAGAGGGATGCGTGGCGGGGCCGGAGGAGGCCAGTTCGGCTCGAGCGAGCCGGGGACGGGGGCTCTGGAGGCGGCGGGGGGGGTGCACAGTGGGGAAGGGGGACCGTAAAACAAGTGTCTGAGGAGAGGAAGCCAATTAAACCGTCAAGTGGATAATATTAGATTTAAAGGGAAGAAGAGAGCGGCGGGTGGAGGGGGGGTGATGCTGGAAATACGAGTGTATCGAGAGTGGCAGTGCAGCCCCGGAGAGACCGGGAGAGACCGGGAAGACAGGAGGAAGTGGGAAGTGGACTTCGCGAGTCCAGACCCCGCTGGGATGTGGTGCCAGCTGCTCCTCTGCTGGGTCCCGGCCGGCCCTCCTAGCCGGCCCTCCTGGCCAGCTTGGCCTGGGGGTCCCCTGGGCCCGGGTTGCAAGCGTCCTTGTAACTCCCATGGGACCTCTGGGGGCAGGCTCTCTGAGCTGCCCTGTGAGAAGTCTGACCACCCAGGGGTGCTGTGCTGGACAGGCCAGGCGCGGGGGTGGGGGCGGGGCGGCTGCCAGCTGTCCTCCCCCCTGCGCCCACCTTGTGAGCGAGGCTCCCGGCCGGCCCGGCCACACCAGCCCGTCCCCCAGCGGAGTAGCTGAGGGAACTCCACCGACGCCCACAGCACAGACCCCCCCACCCCCACCCCGCCGGAATCCCTGACCCGTGAGACACGGTCCGAGGCGGGTGCGGGAAAACACCGCGTTGTGGGCGGCGGCTTGTCGCACGGCGCAGATGACCGCAACGCTGCCCGGCTGGAGAGGCGGGGGCACCGGGCCCGCGCCGTCATCCCCACGGCCCGCTCACTGGGCTGCACACGTCCAGGTGCAGGAAGGACGCCCAGGCTCACTCCCACGCAGCCTCCGGTGTGGGGGGCTCTCAGCCCCTTCCGGCTGCTGTCCAGTCCAGTGTTGTGTGTGTGTGGGGGGGGGTGCCTTTCCTCGCAGGGAACAGCCGGCCCAGCACGGCTGACCTGGCCCCCACCTGCTGTAAATGCAGCCCGCGGACCCTGGCTGTCCCGCCGCCCTGCAGAGGCGCGGCCCTCTCGGACAGCTGGAGGGGAGTAGCCGCGCTCAGGGGGCGCCGGCGCGGCGTGCAGCCCCCTCCACGTCCTCCCCTCGCACACGGAGTGCGTCACTCACTCACACTCGTATTTGCAGGGGGAGCCAGACAAGAATCCTGCATCTCGTCTCGTGCTCCCGCACCCCGGTCAGAGGCGGGAGGGGGAGACACAGAGCAGGAGTGAAGCCGTGCCCTTCAAGGGGCTGAATGACTTTCCCGGCCTCCCTGGGGACCCTGCCCTGGTGTCTCCTAAATACTGAGCGGTGGGGGAGGGGGGCAGTGGCCCTGTGCGTGTTAGGTCTGGAGCAGCCCCCCAGGCAGGGGGAACTGGGGACACTTGTCATCTGTTACCACTCCAGACACAGATGCAGCACCCCAAGAGGAAAGTATGTGCTTGCCTCTCCTGCGCCCCCTACTGGGGACCTGGCCTGCAACCCAGGCTGTGCCCTGACTGGGAATCGAACCGGTGACCCTTTGGTTTGCAGGCCGGCGCTTAATCCACTGAGCTGCACCAGCCAGGGCTCCAAGAGGAAAATGTATGGGGGAAGCACAGCACGTGTCATCTCTAAGGTGGTGAATGGGGGGCCTGGCCAG